AAGGTCCCCCTGCTCAAGCCAGCGCATGTCCAGGCCCGTCTGAAGTTTGCCAATGACCATCTGGATGATCCAGAGGAGGAATGGGAGAAGGTCATGTGGTCTGATGAGACAAAAATAGAGCTTTTTGGTCTAAACTCCACTCGCCGTGTTTGGAGGAAGAAGAAGGATGAGTACAACCCCAAGAACACCATCCCAACCGTGAAGCATGGAGGTGGAAACATCATTCTTTGGGGATGCTTTTCTGCAAAGGGGACAGGACGACTGCACCGTATTGAGGGGAGGATGGATGGGGCCATGTATCGCGAGATCTTGGCCAACAACCTCCTTCCCTCAGTAAGAGCATTGAAATGGGTCGTGGCTGGGTCTTCCAGCATGACAACGACCCGAGACACACAGCCAGGGCAACTAAGGAGTAAGAAGCATCTGAAGGTCCTGGAGTGGCCTAGCCAGTCTCCAGACCTGAACCCAATAGAAAATCTTTGGAGGGAGCTGAAAGTCCGTATTGCCCAGCGACAGCCCCGAAATCTGAAGGTCTGTATGGAGGAGTGGGCCAAAATCCCTGCTGCAGTGTGTGCAAACCTGGTCAAGACCTACAGAAAACGTATGATCTCTGTAATTGCAAACAAAGGTTTCTGTACCAAATATTAAGTTCTGCTTTTCTGCTGTATCAAATACTTATGTCATGCAAAAAAAATGCAAATTAATTACTTAAAAATCATACAATTTGATTTTCTGGATTTTTGTTTGGATTTGTCTGGATTTTTAGATTCTGTCTCTCACAGTTGAAGTGTACCTATGATAACAAGTACAGACCTCTACATGCTTTGTAAGTAGGAAAACCTGCAAGATCGGCAGTGTATCAAATACTTGTTCTCCCCACTGTATATAGCTGCGGAAAAAATTAAGAGACCACTGCAAAATTATCAGTTTCTCTGGTTTTATTATTTATAGGTATGTGTTTTGGTAAAAATAACATTTTTGTTTTATTCTATAAACTACTGACAACATTTCTCCCAAATTCCAAATAAAAATATTGTCATTTAGAGCATTTATTTGCAGAAAATGACAACTGGTCAAAATTAACAAAAAATATGCAGTGTTGTCAGACCTCGAATAATGCAAAGAAAATATGTTCATTTTTAAACAACACAATACTAATGTTTTAACTAAGGAAGAGTTCAGAAATCAATATTTTGTGGAATAACCCTGATTTTCATTCACAGCATTCATGCGTCTTGGCATGCTCCACTAGTCTTTCACATTGATGTTGGGTGACTTTATGCCACTCCTGGCGCAAAACTTCAAGCAGCTCGGCTTTGTTTGATTGCTTGTGACCATCCATCTTCCTCTTGATCACATTCCAGAAGTTTTCAATGGGGTTCAGGTCTGGATATTGGGCTGGCCATGACAGGGTCTTGATCTGGTGGTCCTTCATCCACACCTTGATTGACCTGGCTGTGTGGCATGGCGCATTGTCCTGCTGGAAAAACCAATCCTCAGAGTTGGGGAACAATGTCAAAGCAAAAGGAAGCAAGTTTTCTTCCAGGACAACCCTGCCCGATTCCAGCCTTGCTGAAGCACCCCCAGATCATCACCGATCCTCCACCAAATTTCACAGTGGGTGCGAGACACTGTGGCTTGTAGGCCTCTCCGGGTCTCCGTCTAACCATTAGACGACCAGGTGTTGGGCAAAGCTGAAAATTGGACTCATCAGAGAAGATTACCTTACTCCCGTCCTCTACAGTCCAATCCATATGGTCTTTTGCAAACCTCAGCCTGGCTCTTCTTTGCTTCTCATTGATGAAGGGCTTTTTTCTAGCTTTGCACGACTTCAGCCATGCCCCTAGGAGCCTGTTTCAAACCGTCCTCGCGGTGCACTTCACCCCAGCTGCCGTTTGCCATTCTTTTTGTAGGTCACTTGATGTCATCCTATGGTTGTTGAGTGACATTCGAATGAGTTGGCGGTCATCCCGGTGAGTAGAGAGTCGTTTTTTCGCCCTCTGCCGGTCTGTAGCTTTGTTGTTCCCAATGTCTGCTGCTTGATCTTGTTCTTATGAACCGCCGTCTTTGAAATTTTAAGGATGGAAGCAACCTGACGCTCACTGTATCCCTCTGCCAGTAAAGCCAGAATTGAACCCTTCTTTTCCTCACTCAACTTTCCTTTTCAACTCTTTTGGCATGGTCAATAATTATTATTAATATTACTTTTGAGGTACTATTAGCACTGTTTTTGCCATCCAGCTGGTCCTATTGCAAGAGGATAGTGATGACCACAGCAGTGGTTTTTATACTTTTCCTCGTTAAATAAGATTTGGTTCAGGTGATCGCCTAGTCAGTACCTAATTCAGTAGAATGAGGTGTGCCTGTGTTGGAATTCAACAGACACTGGAATGGAATGGCTGTCATACATGTAGAGATGCTGATTTATGAAAAGTGTGCAGTGGTCTCTTCATTTTTTCCACAGCTGTATATTACCAGTCAAAAGTTTGGCCACACCTACTCATTCAAGGGTTTTTCTTTATTTTGAATATTTTTTACTTTGTAGAATAATAGTGAAGACATCAAAACTATGAAATAACACATATGGAATCATGTAGTAAACAAAAAAGTGCTAAACAAATCCAAATCTATTTTATATTTGAGAATCTTCAAATAGCCACCCTTTGCCTTGATGACAGCTTTGCACCCTCTTGGCATTCTCTCAACCAGCTTCACCTGGAATGCTTTTCCAACAGTCTTGAAGGAGTTCCCACATATGCTGAGCACTTGTTGGCTGCTTTTCCGGTCCGACTCATCCCAAACCATCTCAATTGGGTTGAGGTCGGGGGAATGTGGAGGCCAGGTCATCTGATGCAGCACTCCATCACTCTCCTTCTTGGTAAAATAGCCCTTACACAGCCTGGAAGTGTGTTGGGTCATTGTCCTGTTGAAAATCAAAAGATGGTCCCACTAAGCCCAATCCAGATGGGATGGCGTATCGCTGTAGAATGCTGTGGTAGCCATGCTGGTTAAGTGTGCCTTGAATTCTAAATAAATCACAGACAGTGTCACCAGCAAAGCACCCCCACACCATAACACCACCTCCTCCATGCTTTACGTGGGAAATACACATGCGAAGATCATCCGTTCACCCAAATCGCGTCTCACAAAGACACAGCGGTTGGAACCAAAAATCTAAAATTTGGACTCCAGACCAAATGACAAATTTCCACCGGTCTAATGTCCATTGCTCGTGTTTCTTGGCCCAAGCAGGTCTCTTCTTCTTATTGGTGTCCTTTAGTAGTGGTTTCTTTGCAGCAATCGACCATGAAGGCCTGATTCACACAGTCCCCTCTGCACAGTTGATGTTGAGATGTGTCTGTTACTTGAACTCAGTGAAACATTTATTTGGGCTGCAATTTCTGAGGCTGGTAACTAATGAACTTATCCTCTGCAGCAGAGGTAACTCTGGGTCTTCTGTTCCTGTCGCGGTCCTCATGAGAGCCAGTTTCATCATAGCGCTTGATGGTTTTTGCGACTGCACTTGAAGAAACTTTCAACACACACACACACACACGGTCAGAGGCCATCTCCACAGCTATGAAGAACCAGGCTTGCGTCCCAAATGGCACCCTATTCCCTGTAGGACTATATACACTGAGTATACCAATCATTAGGAATGCCTTCCTGATATTGAGTTGCACCCCCCTCCAGGGGTGCCTGGCACCTACTACCATACCCTGTTCAAAGGCTTTTAAAGATGTTGTATTGCACATACACAATCCATTACTCAATTGTCTCAAGGCTTAAAAATCCTTCTTTAACCTGTCTCCTCCCCTTCATCTACACTGATTTGAAGTGAATTTAACAAGTGACATCAATAAGGGATCATAGCTTTCACCTGGATTCACCCTGTCAGTCTATGTCATGGAAAGAGCAGGTGTTCTTAATGTTGTGTATACTCAGTAGGGCTGTCCCCGACAAAATAAAATCTTGGTCGACCGAAAGTAATCTGTTCTTTGACCAATCGATTGCTCAAAATGTTTTGCGGTGTATTTTTCCATATATAGACACACCGAATGTGTTTTTAATAAAATCAACTCTGTGCATTGAGCTTGTCTGATGCTTTAAGCTTATGGTTTGATGCCTCGAGGGCGCCAGAGATCTAGATAACCAGAAGAAAAAAACCTTAACCTGACCCAACTATTCTCCTCCCGCTGGCTTTCGCAGATTCTGCCATTACTCTCCTGAAGTTGCCGGTAATAGGCTACATGAGTAGGCAACCTTTCTCATGTGGAATGCCAATTTATCTTAACATTTCTACCGATCTGCATACCAGTTATGGTATTCCTATGCACATTTTCGTGGAACAGTTTCATTTAATTTATAATAACGTCTTCATATCTCAAAATCATTGTCATGTGGTTAATCAAAATTATATCCAAATCTAAATGAAAATGATACAAGCCTAAAAAGTAACTTCAATGGCCAACTATGTAAAAATAGCCTATAAAGCCAACAAATAAAAACATTGCAGCCTGCAGGTAGAAAATATGCTGATTTTTAAAGAGGAAAAAAAAAATATATCCTATAAATCACATTGGCTACACATGGCCTGTCTGCAATTTCTAAAAACCTGTTTTCGCTTTGTCATTATGGGGTATTGTGTATAGATTGATGAGGAAAATGTTTAATGTAAGCAATTTTAGAATAAGGCTGTAACGTAACAAAATGTGGAAAAAGTCAAGGGGTGTGTGTGTGTGTGTGTGTGTGTGACTGCAGCAATCTCAGTCGACCAACAGCCTAACGTCCAAACAATCGACTAGTGTGCCATTTGGGAATTAGCCCCAGTTTCTAAAGAGACATATGGAGCTCACCAGAAAATAATGAGACAATAGATCGCATATACAGTAGCAAGCACAGAAATACATTTAATTTGATCAAAGAAAAGTTTCTGTGAAGCTTATCCAAACCTTAAAGAATGGCCAGATTGGAATGTTTCTTTCCCTCCCTGTGTTCAGACGGTGCGGACCTTCTCACTGAAGGGGATGACCAGTAAGCTGTTTGGCCAGGAGACTGCAGAGCAGAGGGAGGCTAAACTACAAGTGTTGGAACAGCAGATAGCGGAGGGAGAGGTGGTTGTCAAAGAGAAGAACACCGAGAGCGAGTGAGAAACCCTCATTCTCAATCTCCTCTTATCTCCTTCTCTCTCTGTCTCCATCTTTTTCACTTTCTCTCTCTCGCATTCTCTCTCATTTTCTCTCTCTGGCTCCTGTGATTGTCTAGCATGTTATAATTGAATCACTAAATTTGCTGCTCTAATCAGCTGCTTTGAACGGTTGACCAGCTGACCATTTTTGTTGTTTATTTCAATTATTTGAGAAGGTTCTAAAGCAAGTCTCTGTCTCCCCAGTGAGTTTGTGAAGACTGCCTGGGTAGACATTGAGCGCTTTAAGGACCAGAAGGACCGGGACCTGAAGGAGGCCTTAATCAGCTATGCAGTCATGCAGATCAGCATGTGCAAAAAGGTAGGTGACACCTCCCCACAGATACATTAAACATATTGAGTATTCTGCCCGGAAATGTTTCTATTTTGTGTTATTTTATCAATACCAAATATGTTGTAAAATACTGTTACTGTGCTGCATAATACATAATATAACTGCTTGTGTTTTTCTTTGTCACTCTGGTTCTCTCTCGTTCTCTCTCGTTCTCTCGTTCTTTCGTTCTCTCTTTCTCGTTCTCTTTCTCGTTCTCTCTTTCTCGTTCTCTTTCATTCTCTTTCTCTCTCTCGTGTTCTCACTCGTTCTCTCTCTCGCTCGCTCGCTCGCTCTCGCTCGTTCTCTCTCTCGCTCGTTCTCTCTCTCGCTCGCTCGTTCTCTCTCTCGCTCGCTCATTCTCTCCCTCGCTCGCTCATTCTCTCTCTCTCGCTGGTTCTCTCATTCTCTCTCTCGCTCGCTCGTTCTCTCTCTCTCGCTCGTTCTCTCTCTCGCTCGTTCTCTCTCTCTCGTTTGTTCTCTCTCTCTCGTTCGTTCTCTCTCTCTCGTTCTCTCTCTCTCGTTCTTTCCCTCTCTCGTTCTCTCTCAGGGAATACAAGTGTGGACCAACGCAAAGGAGTGTTTCAACAAGATGTGATCTTCAAGGCCAAAGCAGACCCTCCAAACAAACTGCCAGAACAGGCTTCTTTTCAGGGGACTCCTCCTGGGGCTGCATCCCAAATGGAACTTTATTCTCTATATATTGCACCACTTTTGACCAGAGCCCTATGGGGTCTGTGCATTATATATAGGGAATAGGGTTCTTTTTGGGACGCATTCCTGGGCACAGACCCTATGATCCTAATCTGCTGAAGTAGCCATGGCTGCATACTGAGAGGTGTTTTGATCAGTTATGCACAAGAAGTAATAATCAGTGAATTCCTTGTCTATATCTTTATCATGTCTGATTGCTGGCTGCTTAGATTTGATCCACTTGCAATTGCAGTTATTTCTCACAGTGACTCTGACAAATGTATGTGTTTTTTTCGCACACATAAAATGTTGATGAGACTTTGATTTTGTAAGGAAAATCACTAAGCACTTACACTATGTTTATAGAGATGCCAAGATATGTGGACTGAAGCCAATATTCCAATGCTGCCTTTTACACAATGTTCAAAATAAGGTAATGAGATTTGTTCTATACGAAGAGTATTCTTGACTTTTTTGTTATTTTCATGCATACTTTACTGATTGTGCTTTTGTAAACATTTTACTCTTGAGTGGACAGTGTGGTTGGTATATTGAACTTTCTGTTTTCTCTACTCTCATTGTATTGTCCCAGTGTACTAAATAAGGGGTTCAACCTTTTCAGATGTTTTTTGTACATTTAAGAATGTTTTTCTATATTTAAAGACCTTACTGTACTTTGCCATTCAAGATGTAATCTGGCACTTGACCTTAAGTAACCACCATGATGAATGGCAGGCTTGTTGTTTTTGAAGAGTGGGTGGGTCAGTGTTTTGATAAATCTAGCCAAAGGAATAGGAAGGTCACAGGAAGACAGGATGTGATAATTGCCTTATGTTAGTGCTGTATGTGTACTGGGGATGCGGTCCAAATGGCTCCTAATTCCCTATATAGTGCACTACTTTTGGGCCCTGTTCAAAAGTAGTGCACTAAATAGGAAAGGGTGCAATTTGAGACACAACCCCAGGCCTCTTGCATTTCAGTTCACTCTAAGGGCCAGGGGAGGAGGTGTAATGGTAATCATTAATTTGGGATGAGATCAGAGCACTGGCAGGAAATTGTACTGTTTATGCGGTTGTACGGTTGTAATCATTGTGCCAAAAATACACTAATAAATAGGAAATTCTAGGTTAAGTTATCAGTCCTTAAATCATGTTTTTATTCATATGACTCAAAATGAAGTTTGAGAATATGGGAGGCTCATACTATGTTCCATTATGAGAGCTTATCAGACAGAAGCAGTGAAAAATGTATGCACTCTCTAACTGTAAGTCGCTCTGGATAAGAGCGTCTGCTAAATTACTTTAAAATGTAAATGTAAAAAATGTAAATGTAAAATGAATGCTGCCATCTGTTGTTTACTTAAATTAGTGTTTTGGTAGTAATGTACTATACTCAGTTTACATTTTTTGGCTCCGTTTGCACTGTGACTTAGGTGATACAGTTGTGCTCTAATCAGATTCAAGTAGTAACTATGAGTTAATTGGTGTACTAGTTAATTGATTTAATAGCGAGTTCTTTAACAAATCTTTAATGTTTTCTTTTTTGTCAAAGAGTATATCACTATCTGTCAAACAGTATTGTTTCTTGAATGCATGAAACATCGTGTTTTGGGAACAAATAGTGGCGTAGTCATATTCTAGTCCTGCGTGCGCGCGCGAAAGAGATGTAGAAAAGGGCTGCAGAACACACTGTAGTGCTTGCTCCGCTAGTCACTACAGGCACAGATGGAATAATGAGAGCGATATTTCACTGGATGTATAAATATGAAGCATCCGCTTGGCGTTTCCACTCACTACCAAATATGGTAGTGAGAGAAAGCTCGATGGCGGGCAGTGGGAGAAGATGGAACGAGATGGGATTTTGGCCGACATTCTACACATTTTCTCATCGATGAAACATTTGATCTCAAAACAGTTTTCTGTTCCCAAAACTATTATCTGTTATGTAAAGAGTGGACTAAGATTCGTAGACTTGACCCTTTGCAAAAGTTTTTTAAAATCGCGTTGTTTAGAAAGTGCACAAAGTGGGATTGAGTTATTGCACACGCGCACTTCACAGAGTAGGCGTTCCCTAATGGACATATGCAGATATATGCTACAACACGCCAATAGGATTTCGCTAGCTCGTGCTTGGCTCTGCCCACCTCCTTGAGTGTTCTGCCCACTATGACTAATTTGTTCCCATTGGAAACGACTGGCTGTGGTCTATCTTGGTTTACTTACAAAATCTTCGCTACAGGTGAGCGACAGCGCTATCCCAAAACGCAAACCAGCTAACTTACCGTACATCCCCTTGCACTGCAGTTGGGCCAAATGCGGTGACGTTTCTTTATCTCGCGGCATATATCACACAGCGGATACACTTTTGCAGATAAACCATGACTGCTAAACGACCTTATTAGACTCCAAAGCAGGTAAGCAGGCTAAATATGTTACGTAAGCTAGCTAGCTTAGCTAATGCTAACGTTAGTAAAACATATATTTGGTTAGAAACGTTATCTAGCCAGCTAGCTAGTTGTGAACAGTTTTCTGCCGTGCCTTAGCGAACGTTAGCTTCACTCAAGTCAAATCGAGAAGTAGCTAACTAAATCTTGACTTGAGTTTTTGCTAGCTGATAGCAAGGTTCTGGGTTGTTGTTTCCGATCAGGCCTAGCTAGCTAGCTAACGTTTGTCATTCACAGCTAACCAAGTTAGCAAGCTAGCTAACTGGCTACTGCTAGCTAGCTAATGTTACCTGTCAACACTGTTGATAGCTATCTAACGTTAGCTAGCTAGTTGTGTTGCTTGTTTAGCTAAAGTTGTCTAGCTAGCTAAAGCTAATCATAACATCTATCTAGCTAGGTTACTAGGTATGTAGATTATTTAGCTAGCTAGCTAGTTGACCACTCAATTTATTTTATAGCGACAAATGTTAGCCTAGCTACTATGTACAATAGCCTTAGCGTACTAACGTTAGCTAGTTTTAGTGCTAACGCTCGCTGTGTTATTTTGATTTAACGGGTTTGTTGATGGCTACAGTAGTTATTTAGTTGGCTGATAATCTTTCAAGGGGTTGTTTGTTAGCTAACGTTAGCTAACTGTCAGCTAAATCCGAGATTACTCAATGATGTCCCCTCGTAAATGTAGCAACAATTTGGAGTGATTAGCCTATTGCTAGCTAAAGCTAAATGTTTTCTTTGTCTTTAACTAACTAAGTTACAGTAACTAGTTAGTTAGCTAATACTTCTGCCCTCCTTTGACCCCACAGACACGTAGGTCCCTTTAAGTTAAGATGAACATTGATGAGAAGCTGGAGGGGATGCTGCTGAAGTGTGGTGGGGGAGTGGATGAGCGGGTGGGGATAGGGGGTGGAGGTCTAGTCGTCATGACCCTGGGCGAGAGGGGGTTAGCCCACCACCCCCTGTTAGCAGACGATGATGAAGAGGATGACGATGACCTGACAGGGGTTTCAATGGTGTCCCATGACCTGATCCCAACTGATGATATGGTGGTACATGAGGAGACTGTGAAGAATGACAGGGAAGGGGGAATGATGCAGAGACTCTCACACAAGCTGCCTGTGAGTCCATGTCATGCATACATTCTTATTGCCAGTCTTCTTACCATACATGCTGTAAATCATGACATTGGATGAATCTGAAGTCTTTCTTCATTCCTTGCGTCCTCTATCCTCTCTCTTCTCCCTGTCTTCATTTTGAAGACTTTTGAGATTCACATATTGAGAGCAGAATCATTCCGACTTTAATCAGTGAAATTAAAACGTTAAACAATGTTTTGTAGGTAAGCATCAAACAAGAGTTGAAGCTGACTTCTGATCCACTGATGCTGGGGAAGAAAGATAGAAAACAGCCCAGAGATCTCACAACCGAGTGTCACAAGAAGAAGAAGCGAAAGCAGCGCTCTCCTGCCAAGGTGCAAATGTATATATTGATCTCAGGTTATATACGTTTAGCATTTAAATCATTATTATTGCTTGAGACAAGGTCATAATCGCATATTCTGTCCAGATTAAAGATCTATATTGGCACCTGAGAAATTCTGTTGCCAAAACTACCAACATGAAAACTTTATTTTTTATAAAGGCCCAGCCTCAGTTGTAAATAAATTGTGAATTGACAAATTTCTTATCCTTGTCTTTCCATGCATCTCTCTTCTTTGTTTAGATTCTCACCATCAATGAGGATGGATCACTGGGTCTCCAGAGTCCAAAGTGTCATGTGTGTGGGCACTGCAACGCAGCCTTCCGAACCAACTACCATCTACAAAGACATGTCTTCATTCACACTGGTATAATGTCTTATGACAGTCAAGCCTCTTGCTTTACATTAAATTAACATGACCTAGGCCCTATGTTGTAAGTTACAATGTCTGCATAATAAGTAGGCAAACACAATTTCCCATTGAATATAAGCAAGAAAAATATGGTAAAACTTAACAACTTACTTGGTTTCAGGTGAGAAACCATTTCAGTGCAGCCAGTGTGATATGCGCTTCATACAGAAGTACCTTCTCCAGAGACATGAGAAAATCCACACTGGTAAGAGAGTGCCCCACGAAGCTATGATTTAACTATGGTAGTCAAAGATCCCACCTGTTGAATGTCGATGTTACTAGCCCACAGAATGAGCTGTCCCTTTGACTTTCTGTCAGGTGAGAAGCCCTTCCGCTGTGAGGAGTGTGGTATGAGGTTCATTCAGAAATACCACATGGAGAGGCACAGAAGGACCCATAGTGGAGAGAAGCCCTATCAATGTGACTACTGTCACCAGGTTGGTTATTTGTGTTATCAAAGCACATCTCAATGGCCTGGTCCCATATCTGTTTGTGCTGTATAGCCAACTCCTATGGTTTGCCATGAGAGACAATGACCTTAGGAGTTCGCAAGACAGCACAAATAGTCTACATCACTAGTTTAAAACTGGTTTATATAGCATGCAGACATTTCTTTAAAAACATTTATTCTACTACTGCCCATGTATGCCACAAACATTCAGATTGTTTTCCACAGTTCTTTTCCAGAACTGACCGGGTTCTAAAGCACAGGCGCATGTGCCATGAGATGAAGGAGAGGAAAGCCCACAAGGCGGCAGCAGCCGGGAAAGATGGAGGACTCCTGCGCAACACAGAATCTCTGGGCTTCTCTGCCAAAGAGTGCTCGCTGCCCAAGAAGAAACGCCTGAAGACTTCAGACAAGTCTCAATGCTCTCTCTCAGCTGCTGCCACTGAAGACGTTGCCACGGTCGCTTCTCTTGGCGGCATGGATAAGGAGGTGGAGCAAAGACTGAACAAAATTGAATGTCTACCTCTCTATGCGGTTACCTCCAAGGTGGTGAAAGATGAGTATGTGGTGAAAGATTATTCTGTGGAGCTTCCAGACTCGTCCGGCGAGCGGCGGTTGGGGCTGGGTGGGGAGAATCTCTCCTCTGAAGAGATTCATCCTCCCAAGCTGGTCCTTAAGAAGGTCCCCAAGAGGAGTCTGAAGCAACCAACTGAACCTGAACTACCTGTGAGTCTGTCCTCTTTTGAAGATGGCAAAATCACCAGGTACACGTTTGAGATCGTGGACAAACAAGGTCTTCTGGACGTGGATGTGGCCAACTCTGACCTGGAGCCAGTAGATGCTCTCCAAGGAGGGCAGACGAAACCAGCATCCAGCAGCACAAACTACGACGACGCAATGCAGTTCCTGAAGAAGAAGCGGTATCTCCAGCAGGCCGCTTTGGCCAACAACCGCAATTACGCCCTAAATGTAAGCAGCATCACGTCCCAGCCTTCCGTTAGACAAGCCGCAGTGGCCAGTGTCATTGACGAAACCGTTCCCTCCACCATCTTGGAACCACAGCCGTTGAGCATCGAGATCAAGTCCAGCCACGACAAGAACGTTCTCCCGGATGAGGTTCTCCAGACTCTCCTGGACCACTACTCAAACAAGGCCAATGGGCAACCTGATATCTCCTTCAGTGTGGCCGACACGGAGGTGACCTCTAGCATCTCCATCAACTCCTCGGATGTGTCTGAGGCCAGCCCGGTAGAGAGCCTGGGAGGTAACCCTCAAGCCCCACCAGCAGAGAAGTCTAGCCTCCTGCACGAGTACTCAAAGTTCCTTCAGCAAGCACTGGAGAGGACCAGCCAGAACGATAGCTACTTGAGCAGCCAGAGTCTTACCTTTGTCACCGAGAGCCCCAGCCTCTCCAACCAGCCTCTGTTCTCCACAGAGAAACAGTACCCTTCCCCCAGCAGGTTTACCACCGGTACTGGTAGGTCAGGGATGAACTCTCCACTACGCTCTACCTTGGAGAAACCCCATTTTGGACTCCTTGTAGGGGATTCCCAACATTCTTTCTCATTTTCGGGGGACGAAACGACCCCCTCGGCTGTGTCGCCAACCGAAGACTTTCTGGAGGAAGTTACATCCTCGAAAAAGACTGATGCTCAAGGGTTGCATCAGACTTTTCAAATCAGCACCTTCGATCAGAACTTCCGGTCACAGTTCCAGGCCTCGTCTCGTTCTGGAATCACCTCCCAATTTACTATTGCCAATGGACAAGTCAGTCTGCGAAGTCACGGAACAGACTTCTCTGAATTCCCACTTGAGACGAGGTCTCAATTAAACTCTTCCCCTGATGCTACAAGGAGTCAAACGTTTGGTTGAGGATATTTTTTTTTTTTTTCTGCGATCATTTCGGAAGGCACTTTTATATACATATCCTCTGTTCTGCCAAAATAGGTTACACTGCAAAGGTGGCTGATGCTCAAAGCATTTGTGATTACAAAATATATAATTTTCTGTTGATTTAAAATGGAACATTTTGGTAATCATTAACATAGAAAATATGTATAGGAATCACTTTCCCAAATGTAATTGGGTTGTGGGAGGAAAAAGCACTCATGAGGTTTAATAGAATGTAAATTAAGAAATGTAAGCCACAAAGGTGTAATGAAAAGGATTTAGTTGCATAGTCACTCTTATATTATAATTTTTTCTGTTTTCATTTTCTGCTCGACTTTAATCATGTTTCTTCCACCTTTCTTTTTGTTGCTTTAACTTTCACCAGGTATCTGGGCCTTTATTCATAAAGCGTCTTGGAGTAGTAGTTCTGATCTAGGATCAGTTTTTCCTTTTAGATCATAATGAGTAAGACAATATGGACAGGGGGCCGGCTGGTTACCTGGCTACCCATCAACATCGCTCCGGCCAACTGACGTTTGTTCTCCACAATGAGTCTGGATTTGCCTGCCTACCCTGATGATTTGTAGAATGCGAACAAATTCTGACCCTTCTGATTGGTCCCAGAAACCGATGGGTTGGGCTAGCGCCAACCAAATGACAACGTTATCACCTTTGATACTCTGATTAGATTTGTTAGACGACCCAATTGCTGATTTTTTTTTTTTTTTGTAGAACGCCCCTCATTTTGAAGTCACACAAACGACTTCTAGGATGTACGTTTCAGACAGAATGTATGTAGCGATCGATAGAGCAGCGGAAATAAATTCAGGGTGAGTCGTCAGGTCCTAGAAATTCAAAGGCAAGGTGGCTGGTCCTAGATCAGCACTCTTACTCTGAGGCCCTATGAATACGGGCCCTGTTACCGTATGCCATGTCGACATAACAGTTCTGTGATTCTTTTAAAGTCATGCTATATAACTGCTGAAAGCAGTGTTGTCCACTTGTTGATAATGTACAGTATAGCTGCTGTAAGACCTTTTCATTTCAGTTGATCTGAACAGAATTAATTTCAAATAATTTATGTTTGAATTTTTTCTTCAGTTGCTTACTAAACTCCTTTTTCAAGTTGACGCCATGGTAAAAGTGGGTATCCTCACGGTGTGTAGCCTGAAATAATATGATTTTTATTTGATCATAAGACTTAATCAGTCTTAATTGAAAGTCACTTGATTCAAAGCTCTCCCCTTGAAGAAATGTATGGTGGTTGGTGTGGAATGAAGTACACTACATGACAAAAAGTATGTGGACACCTGCTCGTCGAACATCTCATTCCAAAATCATGGGCATTGATATGGAATTGGTCCCCCCTTTGCTACTATAACAGCCTCCACTCTTCTGGGAAGGCTTTCTACTAAATGTTGGAACATTGCTGCGGGGACTTGCTTCCATTCAGCCACAAGCATTAGTGAGGTCGGCACTGATGTTGGGTGATTAGGCCTGGCTCGCAGTCTGCATTCCAATTCATCCCGAAGGTGTGCGATGGGGTTGAGGTCAGGGCTCTGTGCAGGCCAGTCAAGTTCTTCCACAAGTTCTTGACAAACCATTTCTGTATGGACCTCACTTTGTGCACGGGGGCATTGTCATGCTAAAACAGGAAAGGGCCTTCCCCAAACTTTTGCCACAAAGTTGGAAGTACAGAATCGTCTAGAATGTCATTGTATGCTGTAGCGTTAAGATTTCCCTTCACTGGAACTAAGGGGCCTAGCCCAAACCATGAAAAACAGCCTGGGACCATTATTCCTCCTCCACCAAACTTTACAGTTGGCACTATGCATTGGGGCAGGTAGCATTCTCCTGGCATCTGCCAAACCCAGATTTGAAACGTGATTTATCACTCCAGGGAATGCGTGTCCACTGCTCGAGAGTCCAATGGCGGCTAGCTTTACACCACTCCAGCCAACGCTTGGCATTGCGCATTATGTTCTTAGTCTTGTGTGCGGCTGCTCGGCCATGGAAACCTATTTCATGAAGCTCCCGACAATCAGTTATTGTGCTGACGTTGCTTCCAGAGGCAGTCTGGAACTCGGTAGTGAGTGTTGCAAACGAGGACAGATGATTTTTACGCGCTTCAGCACTCTGCTGTCCAGTTCTGTGAGCTTGTAGTCCTGTGTAGCTCAGTTGGTAGAGCATGGCGCTTGCAACGCCAGGGTTGTGGGTTCGATTCCCACGGGGGACCAGTATGAAAATGTATGCACTCACTAACTGTAAGTCGCTCTGGATAAGTGTCTGCTAAATGACTAAAATGTAAAATGTTGTGTGGCCTACCATTTCGTGGCTGAGCCATTGTTGCTCCTAGATGTTTCCACTTCACAATAACAGCACTTACAGTTGACAGGGGCAGCTCTAGCAGGTCAGAAATGTGACAAACTGACGTGTTGGAAAGGTGGCATCCTATGACCGTGCCATGTTGAAAGTCACTGAGCTCTTCAGTATGGCCATTCTACTGCCAGTGTTTGTCTGTGGAGATTTCATGGCTGTGTGCTAGATTTTATATACCTGTCAGCAACTGGTGTGGCCGAATCCACTCATTTGAAGGGGTGTCCACATACTTTTGTGTATATATAGTGTATGTCATTCATCATCCAAATCAACAGAACTTGATAGAAATAGGTTATTTATAATGGTCAAGACCAATCTAAAGACTCTAAACATGTGATTGGTCTGAATATTAAATTATGTTTGCACAATGGACCTTAAGTGATGATAATCTTATTCAGATCTTTTTAGGGTTTAGATCATGGTTCAAATGAGAACCTAAAAGTTTTGTTATAGGTCATCAAAATGTTATACAGTTTTGTTGCATGCACTTATTGTGAAACAAATGATGGTTCATTGCAGATGTATTAATCTAAGCAGTCATTGGAGATTTAAGTGTCTAGAAGGGTTGGTACTCTTACGGCTGTTTTCCCAGTAGCAGGTGAAGACCGCAGGACAAAAATCCATGAGTAGAGTGGGAAATCGGCCCTGAAAGTTATATCAAATAATCATAATATGATGTTTTGTACTCACTTCATTATGGGAGAATGTATGTCAGTGTAGGTAGGTTTCCATCCAATTGGTGACAGATATTCATGTGAATATTCTAAAGTCTGCATTATAAACAATATGCACATTTTCCCACCAGAGATGTTTCCATCAAATTAACTTGTTGCGGATAAAAGGCTGTGCGTGATGACGTAGTGCCCATAACTTTTGCGGTTAAATTCCCATGTACCGAATAAAAAATACCAATGGGTTTCCATCACATTTTCAACTCTACTGATGGTTTTGTCCCCAAAGAATTGCATTATATAGCTAATGTGCCCACTCTGGTCTTGGCATGTGCGCGCTATAGCCAACAGCTGGCAGATACAGTTATGGATAAGAGCGATAATATTTGTCTTTTTTAAATGGCAGCCAAGCATCGATCATCATGTCACCAGAATAAGACCCTCAAAATATTTATTGGAAAGCAACATCAAGCTCATCACCGTGCACTTTCACCAACCTGTGAAGGTCATAATGTATTTAATCTGTAGCTTAATGAACTGCATGGTTTCCCGAGTAGTAGTGGGAGGACCACACACCATGTCATTGCGTGACTCTCAAATGTATTTTGATATGATGGTTCTTATATCAATATTTGCACGTAAGGGCATTTCCATCGCAATTTCTTGCCTAATACGCTTTACAGACATAAAAAGATCCCTCCATGTTGAACGAACAAATTATCTGTGGGCATTAATACAATTGTACCGAAACTTCTGGTTTCCATCACAACTGTCGTGATAATATTATATACGGTATGACTTTACTCACATAAAAACTGTGGCTGGAAATGTGGTTATTGTAAGATAATTGCCCATTCAGCAGTACTTTATAGCCTACATTGCACATATAGTTGTAAGAGATTCAAGTTTGTCTTTCATTTAGGCTCCTGTCCTGGAAAATATCTTTGTTAGTTCTCATCAGTGCCTTTTAAAAATATTTCCAGCCATCCCCATATGTTTCATAGTAATTTTTGGTGACTGTCAATTAAATAAACTAGCTCCATCTGCACTTTCTGAAACAAACACAATTCAAAGTTATTTACAATGAAAGTGGAACTTTCCGCTCTTTAAAAGCACTTCCCTTTCACACATTTTAGCCCTCTTGGTATTACAGAAAAGACTGACCACCAATTACATTGATGGAAGTTACAATCTATCTGCAATATTAAAGCTGATCTACCCCCTAGAAAAAAGAAAAAAAAAGACTGACCACTGGCATCTCTTCCGATTTCCTACCTTTTGTAGCACGGATATTATAATTATATATATTTTTTAATCAACCGGTAATCTATTATTAGGGGGTTTATCTGTGTGCTTTCACATTAGCAAAAGTGGTAGGATGGATTTTAGTGCCCAAGAAAGTTCTGGAAATTAAGCTGCGAATTGCACGATGACATTTTAAATGAATGGGTTATTTCTTTATAGATATTACTATATTACACACTGCCTAATTTTCTGAATAGTTGTGCATATTTGGCAGAGGTTACAGAAAAGGTTTGAGATATATTTTGTTGAGTCTCTTTTGCATTGTTGGGTTTCTATGGTATTTGTTGTAACATAATGATTTAATTGTTGCATGTGAAGCGAAACACAATAACAGCCAATTATGATATTTACCTTGACAAAATTAAATGGTTTGAAATGATTTTTCTTGTTATATTGCCTTAGTCATTTGGGTCTATTTTGTCTTGCATGATGTCTCTCCTTTTGCGCTTTATTCTTCATGTCTTTAAAGTTAAATTGTTTTGTTTATAGATTTGAAAGCTACCATCATGTTAGGTATATTATGTGAAAATTATGTTTTACATCAAATGCTAGCTCTCACTTGTTACATTTCTACTGACAATCAGGGACAAATAATACCCTTGTTCTGGATTCAACAGCTACTAAACTTTACTCTGTAAACATTCCCTCTGTAGAATGTATAGAAAGTTGGTATCTCTGCTGTAAATAAGTTGTATATTTTTGGCTTGTGTATTTTCAGTTCTGGACACCTGGTGGTTTTAGCTACATGAGTGAGGTGTACAGTGTTTTATGGAGCCCCTTTCTTTTCATTAGATTTTCAATGCAGTTTGTCACTTCATGTTCTGTGAAACCATAGGTTTTTTTCAACCTATTTTTTACATTTCTTTCAGTAGTGATTTGACCAGCTATGATTTGACTCGCAGTAATTAAAGTCTGCCCATCCTTACATGAAAGAATAGTTACAGTATTGTAGAGTGGACTGGACTGTCAGTTTTGAAGAATACCTGGGGTATCATCCTCCTAAATGTATCAACAATTGATTATTCAATGTCATGTGGGATATAACTGAAATGTTGACCTGTAGTCAATCATGAGATGTGGTCATTTTTGGCTCAGTTATCATCTGATTGTATTGTATGGGTTTAGTATTCAACTAAACCTGCTGTACACCAGTGAAAGAAAGCACTTTCAAAAGCATGGTGTATAGTTGCATGTGTATTTCTCCATGACTTTATCTTAGAGATTGCAACCTATACTATAAGTTTGAGACCCAAAATGTTCCTTCTTCAACCGCGTACCGAGGGAACTGAAAAGATTGCTGTTATGGTTGTGAAAAAGCAACCACTTTTTGGGACAGTTCCACCACTTACAGTAATCCCCTATCCATAAACTGACCATAAGTGTCCTTGTATAAACTGGAGAAAAATATAACTTGTTTCATCAGATTGGGGAAAAAATTATAAATGTTAAACTTTTTGATAAATACTTTGTTCTATTTTTGAAAAATATAATGTTGCTTGTAAAAAGGCTCTGAAGTATGTATGTCATGTAGTCATTATTGCAGACAAGTCCTCAGTTAATATTAGATAATTGTTTGATTCCGAATATGTTGAGCTTCTTTGGCAGTTGAGGACAAAATCTTCTTCCTTTGAGACTGAGTTTTTTTGACTCAGATGTTCATGTTTTATCATTGAGCTACAGAAGGAAGGATAATAAACAAATTGTTAGTCAAGTTATGATGAATTATTGAATTATTCTATTTCACAGGTGGTTGATCAAAAGCAAAATGTTGATTTGCATGGTCTTTAAGTTGTCGATTTGAGTCAACTGGATGTTTTTATAAATATGTAATGTACTGCTTTAATTGTAGCTGATTTATTTCAGTAAAGTTCTATTAGATTTATGCAATATATTATATAGGACTTGTGAAAAATCTGATTCTTCAATTGTTGGTTTTTGATTGTTTATCATGTCCTTCCAAATAAAAATAATTATCCATACAGTAGGCCTACTGGTTTCTTGGAAGTATAATAATTATATAATATTAATGTAGACCTATAAATAACGATTATTTATTGAAGAAAATGCATACTTTGATATTGATTAGGCTATTTTCCATCATGGGGCATATAAAACACACAAATTACACTTCTGAATTCGATATGTTATTAAAACCCAGTTGCTGACAACTGCCCATTTGAAGGTTGGCCAAAAATTAACAAAGGACTTTAGCCTAGCTGTATCTTTTTGGAGCAGAGCAACACACCTTTAAATTGGCATTGGTCAAAACAAACATTTACAGTGCATTCAGAAAGTATTCAGACCCCTTCCCTTTTTCCACATTTTGTTACGTTACAGCCTTATTCTAAAATACCCCATAATGACAAAGTTAAAACAGGTGTTTAGAAATTGTAGTTTTTTACATAAGTACTCAGACCCTTTGTCATGAGACTCGAAATTGAGCTCAGGTGCATCCTGTTTCCATTGATCATCCTTGAGATGTCTCTCAAGGAGGGGGGATGAAATGTATACCTCTTTAACTTTCTCACTCATCATTATTCCCGATTTACTCATGATTATCCATAATCATGGTAGCATCCACATTAATGTAGAAATATTCCTATTTATAATAAAAGTGACTCCAAAATTACATTATACATTATTTACCATTAATTTCTATTGGGCACAACATAATCCGAAACACAACCAAAACAAACTGCAAATGCATCCAACAAGCTTGACGTAGTCATTGGGTGCAAGGAATATGTGACCAAATACTGAACTTTTAACTAAATTGAATTGAATTTGTCCAAATACTTATGACACCTTTAAATGGGGGGTACTAGATACTTACTGTTAAAGTGCTTTCATTTCTAAATGGTAAAACAGATATGTATGAAAATACCCTCAAATAAAAGGTGACATTCTGTACTGTCACCTCATATAAAACATTTGAGCTCAAATCCAAAATGCTGGAGTATAGAGCCAAATTAAAAGTTTTAGCTTCACTGTCCAAATAAATACGCAGGGGAGTGTATGTCTTCAACATCCCTGCAACCCTTTCCAAGGTTATTGTGGTAAAGGAGAATGTCAACTCACCTTGTAAAACAAAGATTATAAAGCTAAAGAAATAAAAAGATAAATCAACATGTTTGCATTCAAAGGTCTTATGCATGTTTTCTGCGTGTGTTTTGATTTCAACAGTGTGTGGCTGGAGCCATGTACTCACAGGGTTCTCAGAGCCTGCAGAGTGAGTGGGCTGTTAGAGGGAGGTCTGTGGCTGTCCTGCTCTGCCTTCTTGGTTGCATCAGACTTTTCAAATCAGCACCTTCGATCAGAACTTCCGGTCACAGTTCCAGGCCTCGTCTCGTTCTGGAATCACCTCCCAATTTACTATTGCCAATGGACAAGTCAGTCTGCGAAGTCACGGAACAAACTTCTCTGAATTCCCCCTTGAGACAAGGTCTCAATTAAACTCTTCCCCTGATGCTACAAGGAGTCAAACGTTTGGTTGATTTAATTTATTTCTGCGATCATTTTGGAAGGCACTTTTATATACATATCCTCTGTTCTGCCAAAATAGGTTACACTACAAAGGTCGCTGTTGCTCAAAGCATTTGTGATTTAAAAAAATATATAATTTTCTGTTAGATTAAAATGATACATTTTGGGAATCATGAAAATATAAAAATATTTATAGGAAGCACTTTCCCCAATGTAATTGGGTTGTGGGGGGAAAAAGCACTCATGAGGTTTATTAGAATGTAAATTAAGAAATGTAAGCCACAAAGGTGTAATGAAAAGGATTTAGTTGCATAGTCATTCTTATATTATTTACATTTTAGTCATTTAGCAGACGCTCTTATCCAGAGCGACTTACAGTTAGTGAGTGCATACATTTTCATACTGGCCCCCCGTGGGAATTGAACCCACAACCCTGGCGTTGCAAACACCATGCTCTACCAACTGAGCTACACGGGGCCACTGTGTATTTTTTCTGTTTTCATTTTCTGCTTGACCTTAATCATGTTTCTTCCACCTTTCTTTTTCTTGTTTTAACTCTCACCACGTATCTGGGCCTATATTCATAAAGCGTCTCGGATTAATAGTGCTGATCTAGGATCCGTTTTTCCTTTTAGATCATGATGAATAAGACTATGGACGGGGGGGCTGGTTGCCTGGTTACCCATCAACATCGCTCTGGCCAACTGATTTGCCTGCCTCCCCCGATGATTTGTAAAATGCGAACACATTCTGACCATTCTGATTGGTCCCAGAAACCGATGGGTTGGGCTAGAGCCAGCCTACACGACGACGTTGTCAACTTTGATACTCTGATTGATTAGATTTGTTAGATGACCCAATCGCTGATGAATTTGTTTTGTACAACGCCCCTCATTTTGAAGACACAAACGACTTCTAGGATGTACGTTTCAGACAGAATGTATGTAGCGATCGATAGAGCAGCGGAAATAAATTCAGGGTGAGTCGTCAGGCAAGGTGGCTGGTCCTAGATCAGCACTCTTACTCTGAGGCCCTATGAATTCGGGCCCTGTTACCGTATGCCATGTCGACATAACAGTTCTGTGATTCTTCTAAAGTCATGCTATATAACTGCTGAAAGCAGTGTTGTCCACTTGTTGATAATGTACAGTATAGCTGCTGTAAGACCTTTTCATTTCAGTTGATCTGAACAGAATTAATTTCAAATAATTAATTTATGTCTGTGGCTGTGGCTGTCCTGCTCTGCCTTCTGGGTATTAACCTCGCCAGGGTCAAATGGATCGTCCGTCTCCAGCTGATACTACTGGTGTGTACGTGACATAGCCTACAGTAGGCCTGAGATTGTGTTCTGCTTGACAAAATCACATGTAACTGTTGTGTATATTGAACTGACAGAAGAGACTGTAGTTCTGACAGAATGGAGTTGAGTGCCAAGGGTAGCACAGTGGTGGAGTTGTTCTTGTGTAGCTTAGATTACAGGATCAATTAACTGTTTTCTCCAGTAGGTGTCATTGTGGCATAATATAGTCTGTGGTTATCCTCCAGGCTTTCTCTGCACTGTATTTACTGTAGACTTCAGAGTTCATAAGCTGTCTCTCAGCCCTCTAGCTTTGTTGCAAATGTACTGCACCTCTTACATCATACTCTTATGCAGTAGCTGTAGCTTATAAGCATACCTAGTTCTTCCCCTTGGTCAAATAAATAGGGTTCCCATCACAGTTTGAAGTTTCCAGACTGTTTGTGTGTGTGTGAACATGTTTAACTATACTTGTGGGGACACACCTCATGCTGCGATCCCAAGGAGGGAATGGCTTAGTCCTGGCCTTACAGGAGAGTCCTGCCAGATATCCTTTTCACACCAAACATTCTCTCTATCTCATTACAATCCCTATAGTGGCTTAGATGCCCACAGTGCTGCTCTTGCTCTTAGCCCAGAGATACAAGGTGACAAGGCTTTAGTTCCTGGTGCTAAGACTTTGGCCTAAGCCTACTCATTCCTAATACGATCAGTTCCCTGGAGCCCATTCTTCACACACTTGCAATCGTGTAAGCCTGTGGCCTTTATGAAAATGTATGCACTCACTAACTGTAAGTCGCTCTGGATAAGAGCGTCTGCTAAATGACTAAAATGTAAATGTAAATGTAATGGGACCAGAAATCTCCACAAGAATAGTAAATGAACAAAAATTAGTGTTAGGGTTAAAGGTTAGGGTTAGGTTAAGGGTTATGAAAAATAGGATTTTGAATGGGAATCAATTGTGTGTCCCCACAAGGTTATTGAAACAAGACTGTGTGTGTGTGTGTGCATGCCTGTGTAGTAGCTTATGAACAAAGATAATGCATACAGTGCAATCAGCGCTGAGGCAAGGTTAATTGACTTGGGCAGCACTAAATCTTGTGTAATGTTTACCCAGAAGGTTTTTAATGATGAGGAAATGGTGGGTGTGCTTTTAGACAGAATGTATTATTTCCCCAGCCTTCAACAGGAAGTTGATCCCTGCTCTTCCTGTTCTCACTGATTACCCACTTCCTGTCCAGGCCAGGGGTAGAGCACAGGCTGCATCTCAAATGGCACCCTACTCCCTATGTATTGCACTACTTTTTTTCAAAAGTAGTGCACTGATTAGGGAATAGGGTGCCATTTGGGATGCAAAACACAGTTTACCTTTTTTTTTTTAAACAAACCACAAGGACCACTAGCTAAATGGTGGTGGTGGTTGGTTTAGTTCAGGAAGCTGAAACCTTACCCCAGCCTTTTGCCCACCATGTCTCTCCTCTCCTCTCCAGTTCAAACCTCTCATCCCTAATGATCCTCTCCTCCTTCTCAGTCAGAACCCAGAGTCCAGGGCTGCATCCCAAATGACTCCCTATTCCCTGCATAGTGCACTACTTTTGACCAGGGCCCCTAAGGGAATAGGGAGCCATTTGGGACACACACATCTCGTGGTTGTGGCCTAGTGAAACTGAGGCAGTGGATTGCCAAGGTTTTCCAATTAAGTTGCTGCTGTGTTTTGAGGTGACCTCATGCTTTGGCACGGCGCCACCGGGTCCTCCAGTGTAGGAGACTAGGACTGCGTCTGAAATGGCACCCTCTTCTCTATATAGTGCACTACTTTTAACCAGGACCAATTGAGCTCTGGTCAAAAGTAGTGCACTATATAGGGAATAGGGTGCCATTTCAGACGCTGGATAGGGTGGCATTTTGGATACACCCTTGGCTGGGCGCTGCATGGCCTGGTTTGGCTGGTTACCTGCCAGTTGCTGGAAAAAGGAGGTGCCATGCAGATGTGTTTATAGTTTGATAACACTTTTAATCAGACTGGCGATTTGAGGAGAATGCCAGCTGGCCTAGTTGGCATAGGGTCAGGGTGGTCTCAACAGTTAATGCTGTCTTTTCTGGCAAGATTGATGTGTTTCTGGTCATGGATGATGTAGATGAAATTGTTGTCTATTGTACAGAAATGTTGTAGTAAAGGTTTAGTTATTGCTTATTACACTACTAACAGCTATATGGTTGCAGTTTTCTATACCATATCGACCTACTTCTATACTGCTTTACTGACTGTGACTGTACTTGATGTCAGACAACCTGAGTCGGTATAGAGGTCTGAAAGTATATAAAGGAATGATTAACTAACAGTTCCTCGTGGGTGAATTCAGAAGCTCTATACAGTAGTAGCATAACTTTGTAGTGAAATATGAATATGTTTTGAAACCTCTTCTAAATCTCTCTTTAACATTCCTGCATCGTTATCCTGCCACACTGATCTGTGTTCTGTGTGGAAAACTCATTATGGAGTCAAATGGGGATACGCCTAACCCTTTAAACTGGTGAGTAAGTTTTGATTTGTGAAGTGATCTTAACTTCCTTTCCCCGTTCATGTAGCTGTTTAATGATGTAGACTGACTAGTCCTTCCTGGCTGCAGTAGTGTAGCCTGACTCTCAGGTAAAATAAAAAACAGGAGCCCACTACTGAGACTAACAAAAAACAGTGTTATAGAGCAGTGGGATAAAGATTTGTTTTACAATGGACATTTGTGTGAACTGGACAATAAAGTATTCTTCTTCTTCATAACTAATATAAGGAATATCCTCTGTCCTCACATTGTAGAGCATTGCATCATACATGCATGTGTTCATTTATGGTCTAATTCCTGTAACCGAAGCTAGTCTATTGGTTCATATTTATTATGTCAGAGACAGTAGTGTTGTCACTTCATCACAAAACACAATCTCTCTCCTTGTCTCTCTTTCTCCATTTCTCACTCTCGCTCTCGCTCTCGCTCTCTCTCTTCCTCTTTTCTCTCTCTCTCGTCTCTCCCGATCTTCATTTAAACCCTCTTCCAGATCGAACAGACATGAAGTTCCATAATGTGTTTCATGGTTTAGGTTGTAGGGCGTTAAAAAGGCTCACCCACATTTTTGAACAATGACAAAAAGAGAGATCAAGCACCACATCATCCCTTCCTATGAAGGGTCCTCCAATCAGAAAATCAGGGGCTCCTCCCAATGAACACTGTCCTGGCTGTGGTGACTGCTCAGTGCTCGGAGAGTCATCAAGGGTCATAAACACAGAAATACATTTAAAAGTGAATTATAGGATCTCTATGGTCTCGAGTCAGCACGTATGCCCTCACGCACAAGGTCTATTTACCTTTGGTCAGTGTGGGTGAATGAGAGGAGTGAGAAGAGCTCTGTCAGGTGAACTTGGTCAGTTTTAACACCATTAGGGTGGAGCTCATGGACACTGGGGTTGTGTCCCAAATGGCACCCTATTCCCTATATAGTGCACTACCTTTGACCAGAGCCTTATGGGGCTATAGGGAATAGGGTGGCCTTTGGAACACAACCTGCCTGGGCCTGTCTCTGTTCTATTGTACTTCAGTGACATTATCATTGTTTGGATAGAGGGAGGTCTCAGTGGGTCATGGAATGTACAATCATTTTGTGGCTATTGTTGCTGGAGCACAAGAGAGTGGTTTCCTCTAGTTACCACAACCACAAGTCAAA